GGCCGGTGACGAGGGCCACGAGCTTGGCAGCAGCGGCCGGAGCTCGGGCGTGCTCAGGTTCGGTGCTAGGGGGCACGGCAGAGGGCGCGGTGAGGTGCTGCGGGCTCCTGGGGGTGCGGGGAACGCGGTGACGCACTCGGGCTCGAGCCCGCATGGCAGTGGCCACGACGGCGACGTGCAGAGGCAGCGACACGTGCGGGTAAGCGAGGTGCAGCAACTACGGCGCACGAACGAGAGAGCAGAGAGGGGGAGAACGGGCAGTGGCTCACGACGAGTCGGGCAAGATGGTCGGCGAGCTCGGGGACGGTCGAAGCTGAGCAGGGCGGCGAAGTGGATCTCCGGCGACGGGCGGTGAAGGCAAGGTCGGGGAGGCGTCTCCGAGGCGTGCGAGCGCTCGGGGCTCAGCTGGCTCGGTGAAGCAGACGACAGCGGAGCTTATGGACACGGCGGGGCGACGAGTGGACGATGGTGGCTGCGAGCTTCACGACGGCGCGAGCGCTGCTGCATCGGCCATGGCGAAGAGAAGGCGAGAGGGAGGGTAGGGGAAAAAGTGAGGTGTCGGTGGAGTCGGGGCGGCACCGAGGAGGCGTTTCGAGGCGTCGTTGCGCTATCCAGGCGACGCAGACGAGCAGGGAGCTGCGTGGTGAGCTCGGCGCGCATGCACCGCCCCCTCTACCTATTGGCAGAGGTGGGTGATGACTGGCATGGGCCAGGTGGGCCGGCCTAGTGCAGGTAAGTGGCCTCTGTCCTCTTCTCTCTCTCTCTTTTCTATTTATTTCAGTTTATTATTTTATGAAATGTTTTTGGCTTTATTTAAAATGCTAAAGCATTCCAAAAACCCTGAAAATACTTCTGGGCTCCGTTTGGATTAATTCCAACAGCCCTCACTTAAATTCAGAATTATTTGGACATTTAAAATATTTTATAGTATTAAAATGTCCAAATGGCAAATAGCTAATGATTTAATCCAGTGACCTTACGTGTCCTAGAAAATGTGAACCAATTTTGGCAGAGGTTATAGACCAAGACAAAAGTGATGAACATTTTTGAAGGGCATTTCAGGTTCATTGGGAAAATATTTTAGTAACCCTAGTTGGTTTAAGTAGTGCTGGGGTTTTGGTTCATCCCCATTTCAAGTTTTTGGAAATTTTAAATATGATGCATCACTCTAATGCAAGTACTGACTAGGGACAACTCACCCCCACTCAGAAAAATCTCGTCCCGAGATTCAGAGTCCGTCGAAAAGAAAGTGGGGTACTTAAGTCGAAGATGATCCTCCCTTTGCCAAGTAGCTTCTTTATCGGAATGGTGTGACCATTGAACCTTGAGAAACTTGATGTTGCCGCGTCGAGTGGTACGCTCGGCTTGATCAAGGATACGAACCGGATGTTCCCGATATGTGAGATTATCTTGGAGATCAAGCGTTTCATGGTCCACTCCACGGATAGGATCCGAGAAGCAATGCCTGAGTTGAGAAACGTGGAAGACATCATGCACTCTAGAAAGATGCGGAGGTAGTTCCAATTGGTAGGCAACTTCTCCTCGTTTGGCAAGAATGCCAAAGGGTCCAACGTAGCAAGGAGCCAATTTGCCTTTGATACCGAATCGATGGGTTCCCTTTAGAGGAGTAACCCGAAGGTAAGCCTTCTCGCCGACTTCATAAGTCATGGCCTTATGCTTGTGATCATATTGGCTCTTCTGACGAGATTGGGCTGTTTTCAATTTCTCACGAACGATGCGAACTTGCTCTCTGCTTCCTGGATCATATCCGGGCCAAAGAATTGTCTTTCCCCGGTTTCTGACCAGTTAAGAGGCGTCCGACACCTTCGTCTATAAAGAACCTCAAAAGGAGCTTTGCCCAAGCTAGATTGATAGCTATTGTTATAAGCAAATTCGGGGAATGGAAGGCATTTCTCCCAATCCATTCCGAATGAGATAACATAAGCTCGGAGCATATCTTCCAGAATTTGGTTAACGCGCTCTACTTGACCACTTGATTGAGGGTGAAAGGCGGTGCTAAAGGAGAGACGAGTTCCCATAGAATTTTGGAAACTTTCCCAAAATCGAGAGGTGAAGAGACTTCCACGATCCGAGTTAATTTCCAATGGAACACCATGGAGAGACACTATTCGGGAGATATACAAGTCTGCTAGCTGACTAGCGGTTATACTCTCTCGAATAGGCAGGAAATGGGCTACTTTGGAAAGACGATCGATGACAACGAAGATAGCACTATTCCCTCTCTTGGTCCTGGGAAACCCGGTGATGAAATCCCTACCGATTTTATCCCATTTCCATTCAGAAATGCTCTGCTTTAACACGACGACAAACGTCGCAATTTGCAATATGTTGAGAAATTTCTCTCTTCATCCTAGTCCACTAGAACCTCTAGCGTAGGTCCTGATACATTTTGGTACTACCGGGATGAATGGTGAGAGTAGATTCATGAGCTTCCTTAAGGATTAACTGTCATAGTTGTCGTTTCTTGGGAACCACTAAACGGTTCTCGAAGAAGACAACTCCTTGATCATTCACAGTGAAACATTTAGCAGCTTCACTAGCAATGTTCTCCTTGATCCGAGAAATCCCCTTGTCATACCGCTGAGCGCTTATGATATGATCCATAAGGGCAGGTTTCGCCACCAAGGTAGATAGGAACCCTTGAGGAACAATGTGAAGGTTAAGCTTCCGAAATTCCTCATGGAGAAGTGGTTGACTTTGTTGTAACATCAGGTTGTTACAATAAGATTTATGACTGAGTGCATCAGCCATGACGTTGGCCTTGCCCGGGGTGTAAGTTATCCCTAAGTCGAAATCTGTGATCAACTCGACCCAGCGTCTTTGCCTGAGATTCAAATCTGGTTGGGTGAATATATATTTCAGACTTTGATGATCGGTGAAGATTTCAGAACGATTACCGAGAAGGTAATGTCGCTAGGTTTTGAGTGCATCGACTACAACTGCAAGCTCTAGATCATGTGTAGGATAATTTTCCTCATGTGGATGCAACTATCGTGAAGCATAGGCAATTACATGACGATCTTGCATGAGTATGCAACCTAGTTCTTGTCGTGAGGCGTTGCAATAGATAACAAAGTCCTTGGAGAAATCTGGTGGTACTAGTACGGGAGCAGATGTCAAGCGTCTTTTCAGCTCCTGAAAACTGTTCTCGCACCGTGGGTCCACTCGAACTTTTTATCTTTCTTGAGGAGTTTATTTAGAGGTTTAGCAATTTTGGAGAAGTTCTCGACAAACACTACACCACGACACTCAAAGTAGGGTCAAACAATCTGTCGGCATAGGTCACCTAAGGCGACACATTTAGTATCGGCAAAGAACTTCCACGACGGAAAGGAGCTGTTGCCTATAGTGCTGCCAGGAAAGGTTTTTGCCGACAGATAAATCTATGCCGTCGGAAAGTATGACGACGTTGGTGAGATATACGCCGACAGACATTTCTGCAGTTCATCTGGCACTGCACTATGCCGACAGATTGTGTGACACCGTAGCTATGCCGACAGTCTATCTGATACTACATCTGCCGACAGATAGTGCAACGGCCATTTCTATGCCGACACTTTATTTGCCAGTACGCAATACAATCAAAATCATATTATTCAAATCATTTCAGTACGCAATACAATTGCACTATTCCATTTATCACAAGATAACATGCAAATGCAATGCATTCATTCAACATATATAGAACATTCCAATTGCACTCTTCCATTCATCACAAGATAACATCCAATGCATTCATTCAACATCTAACATATAAAAGCTGCTAGAGTACCCGCCCATCCAGCGCCATCGCGAATTCAAATCCATCCTGCGCGCACGCTTCGCCTTGCTGGCAACGTAACAGTAATTTCCGTCGCCCTGGTGAAAATCCCGCCACTCGTTTTTCTGTACGTTGCGTAATCAGGCTAGAGCAACTGACGCATGGGCCATCCTTGCGCAGGGGCCAGCCTAGCAGCGACAGGGCGTGTGCGTGCCTTTGTCGGGGTGAAAGCATTGGCGATCGATCATGGGTTGCCAGTGTCGTGGGTTGGCAGGGCGTTTTTTACCGTCCTTGTTTGCACCCAGCGGCGACGCCTCCGCTTCAGCCCCGGCAGGCCCATCTGTCGGTCTCGTGAGTGCGCGGCTAGCGAGCGAGCGGGTGGCCTGGGCGAGCGGGCACGATGGAAAAGAAAAGGGGAAGCGGCAGCGAGAGAAAAGAGAAGAGGCAGCCAGACCTAGCCCGCGCGCCTCCTCTCCTGCCGCCGCCGTCGCCTCGGCCTCGGCCGGCCCGTGCTCTGCCGACGCCCGTCGGCCTCCATCCGGCCTCGGCAGGAGGGGAGCAGCAGCCTCGCCCCGTGCTCCGTCGGTGCCCGTCGGCCTCGACCCGTCGTCGGCAAGAGAGTGCTTGGGGGAGGAGAGGAAGGCGGCGCTCTAGGCAGGGGTGTTGGGCAGAGATATATGGAGGCAGCAGCAGGAGCAACTCGTCTCTCCTCTTCGTCTCATCTCATGGATGAGGGCGTCGGCTCCAGAAGCTCTAGGAGTGGAAGACGTCTTCCTCCAGAATTTGGTCGAGGTGCTCCTCTCTCTTTGCTTCTTCTCTTTTCTCTGTACTTTGTTTGGGCAGTATTTGCCCTGTCATGTTTTTATGATGTGTTCATGAGCTAATTTGTTCTTATGGTGGTTCCACCTTTATTTCTATCTAGCAGGATTTTGTTGCAACGACACTATGCTGACTTTTTGTGTTTTTGGAATTTGTTAATGAAATTCTGGTTAAGCGCTTTGACTTGCCCAGTGATCTTGTCTCAAATTACAGTTTTGGAATTTGTCAATGAAATTCTACAATCAGGTAAACCTTTTGTTTGGTCTATTCATCGATAGAATATTCTAGACACTTGACTAGATGTTGTATACCAAGCAGTTCATCAATTCTCTTGCTGGCCTGTAGTGTTCGCCATCATGTAATTTTAGGAACAAAATTCAGAGAAAACTTACTGCATTTTATGTGTGAGCCATTGAGGATTTCTGATAGTCTTTACATTATAATGTTTTTGGTGCAGACCATCGAGTTTACTAAGTCTTCGTCTGTTACTTTTTGCAAATTTCAGCATGAACATGCATTCGAACTTGTTCTCAGTTATCCATATATTCATTTTCTTAGATGTGCAGTATGCAATCATGTTCTTTTCTTGCGATTCTTTTGGCCTGTTAATCTTTCATTTAAAGGAGAATCACCAAGCGGAATTAAGACTATTATCAAAAATCCTCATTTTGTAGAAGGGTTAAGCAATTGGTCCGGACAAAATCTAATAACCGCAGGCATGAGTTAACTGCATATGGGAATGTAAATCACATAAATGGCAGCTGCTTTGCATCAGTAACAGGACAGGTTCACAGTTGGAATGGCATACAACAAGATATCACAGGCAGTGTAAAGAAAAGTTTCTTATGAGATTAGTTCTCCTGTTTACAGATTTGGCAGTGCTAATGATACTGAAGTTCATGCTACTTTGTGGGTATAAGAATATGGCTGTGAACAATATCTATGCATTTCAAAGTAAGCATGTTGATTTTAGTATTTAAACGCTTTCTTGGCAATGTTATCTTATATTCCATTACAGTATGTTACAATATCTTCTAGGGCCACAGATATCACTGGTTTACTAAATTATAGGGGTCACATATATCATGGGTTTACTAAATTTCAGGGTTACAGATGCCACAAGGCTTGCCTAACAAAGGTTCACTGAAAAGGAATGGCTTGACAAAAAAAGGTGGTTATTTCTTCCTTTAACTGTTTCAATCCTCTCTTTTCATTTTCATGCTTAAAGGAATGTTAATGCTTACGTTTTACTATTTATAAAATAAACATATGCCAGCTGGCTTCTTAAGGGGCTTGCTGTTGATTTTTTTTGTTGGATTAGATAGCTGCCAGTATGCATATCATCTTGAGTGTCTTGTTGATGTTCTGGATAAAGCAATTGACGAAATATGTGTAAACTATGTTCTGTTCAACAAAAAAATCCTTATCCACTTCACTCTTCTTACCTTATATGACATACAGGACTATCATTGGTCTAGGTTAAAGCAGTTGTTGTGATCAGGCAGAGAGAATTTGAGAGCATCGACAAAAATCCTTATCCGCTTCACTTTATAAATGTTTTTTCAGTGGCTGTTTGAACCCTCAGCTGAAACTGTTGTCTTATATTATTGAAAGTTGCATAATATCCCAACAAAAGGCAGAATTCCTTGTAGGATAAATAAAAATGCATCTGATGCTGACAAGTCTAGGAATTCCAGAGGCCGACTATCGTTGCAGGGTATATGTGAACAACAAAATCTATGCCACAACTCTTTTCAGTACATGTATGGTACCACTCAAAGGTAGACCTCTAATTATGAATTTCCTTCCATGCCGCCATCATCTTGTTGTGCACTAACAGTTTGTTTAAAATCCTATGTTATTCAGATAAAAATTGGTGGTCTAGATGAAATTTCATCGAAAGGTTTCCCCGTCATTTATATAGTGGTCCTAATTTGTTGTTATGTCTCTAGGTGTCCTCATTTCGGGATAGTAAGGCCGACGACAAGAGATTCTACATATTTTCTCCCACAAAGGCACTTAAGTTGAAGACATATTCAAAAGATGACCGTGTCTCTGTGGTCGAGGCCTTGGTCTTGGTCAGGAGTGTTTATTCACTCAGGTCGCTTAGTGGAAGAATAAGTTTGGTGCATAGTGACATTTCTATTTTGACTGCAAGGAATCAAAATCGGATGCACCAGGAGGCTTTAAACGAGAGTCTTATACATGATTGATAATAGATTATGCTTTCGGAGTTTTCATGCTACCGAAAGCAACTGAAGCTACGCTATGAGGATCATCTAAGCTTGTTTGGATCCAGTAGATACCATTTTTGAGGTAAGAATGGCTGTGAATATTAATTACCGCTGCATATTCTTTGAGACCGTGCAAAGATAAAATGCTTATATGAAGTTGATAGGTAGCAGAAACTGCTTATGCCTGAAACTAAATAGTAGAACTACATCATATGCTCATTGGTCATTTTGCTTGGAGACATACTGAGTTTGTTAAGCCTACTAATTAGCTAGAACAAGTTCAGCCAAGAGGTAGATGTTATTTGTTCTTTCTTGCTCTTTCTTTTGTTGGTATTCAGTCCTAGCCTCACAAAACCGCGCTACACTTTCACTTATAATGAGCCAAGAGAGAGAATGTTCATTAGTTTTATTTGGATTTACTGTACATAAATAATGCCTAGCCTGTACAAATCCCGCATACGATCCGGCAGGAGTGATTCCTCCTACATCACGCCAATCCATACGATCCGGCAGACCAGATCGCACGGGGTACAAATCCCGCATATCCATATACCCAGCCTGCACAGCAGGTGCAAACCGTGTCAGAGTAGCCCAATGATCAGATCGAGTGTTGAAAAGCTCCAATCGCAAGGAACGATTCTCGCGGTCCTTATCCTCAAGCAACTATGTGGTAGTGCGGAGTAGCGGATCCTCATGAGCAGAGTCGGTGTAAAGAGCCGAGTAGTAACCTTCTGCCCCAGGGAGTGATGCTGGCATATAGCGGAACTCAGTGTTCCGAAGCAAAGCAAGCCTAGCCCGCATAATAGTCATCATCGAGTAAGCAGCATCCTGCACGGATGTAACTTCCCGGATACAACTTTCCATTTTGGTAAATCCGACTCTTGCCTTTTCGGGAGATGCGATAGGAGGTTTCCTTCGTGGTTGGGTTTTGTTCTTGTTTTGCATTTTGTTCATGTCATGCATCTCATATCATGTCATCATGTGCATCGCTTTTGCTTACATGTTCGTCTCATGCATCCGAGCATTTTCCCTGTTGTCCGTTTTGCAATCCAACACTCCTACGTCCTCCGGCGCCCTGTTCAACATGCCATAACTCCTCATCCATAGATCCATTTTCCATGCATGATATATCAAAATGTTCATTAGGATGTGCTCTTCATTTTTTTTCCATTGTTCCATGCTTATTTGAGTCAATCTTGATGCCCAAATAGTTGATGCAAGAGTGCTATAAAATGTTAGGTGCTGATTCTTAGCAGAGTATGAGCATTTGTCATTTTTGCTACATTTGTTGTGTGCTGCATATGGGCACGAGCTCTACATTTGTTTTGGTCTATGCCATGCCATCTTTACAGGGGTGTATGCCATGTATTTTTGTGATCAATGTGGTGACTAGCACAAGCATGCAAAGTAGCCTTCGTGATATTGCTGATTTCAGGATCTCAGGATTTTGGTTGTCTGTCTGCTATTATTTTTATGCCATGTATTCATGTTGCTACAGTGTGATACATGCTTTATTTGAGTTGCTTTAGTAAGGATAATTTGGACATATGGTTATTCTCTATTTATCAATGCCCCTGTTTGCAATTATGGAGTGCCGTAGCATGACTTAATCTTGCTCTACTTTTTCTATAAAATGTTCCTGGCAGATTGTTTACATGTTAATCAATTTTGCCATGGTTGTTGTAGTTGATCCAAGCATGCTTTAAACTTGTTCTTGCCATGGTTAGCTTCTTGAACACGTCTTCTTGATGGTAGTATGCTTAGCTTGTCATGCAATGCCTTGTGTTGAGTGCATCAAGCTCACAAAGATGCCTTCATAATTCTATTTATGACATGCTCTGTTTTCTGCTAAGTCTGAATCTGTTAACGAAACTTGCTATGTTTACATGGTTTCCATCATATCTTCTGATCCTTTTTGGCTTATGGTAAGTAAGGGACTTTTGTTCTCTTCTTTGAGTAGATTCTTGTCATGCCTTGTTTTGCTATGATATTTTCATGTAGCATGTCGTTTGCTTGATCTAAACATTGCTTGCTGATGTTAATTCCTGGCATGTTATTTTCACCAAGTCTGTGAAGCTGATATAGTTTGCACTTTTGCCATGCTAGTTTTAACCTGCTCTTGTGTGATTTAGCCGTAGCTCAGTGTTCATCTTTTGTCAAGCATCAGGAGTAGATCACTGCCGTATGCTTTGTTGCTATGTTGGAGTGCAGTAGCTTAGTTTCGTGTTGCATTCTAGATGTCATCATGCTGTTAATCGCAGAATTGTGCCATTCTTGTTTTGCTTGCCATTTGCAAGCCGTGCATCCTATTCCGGTGATCTTCATATCGATTTCGACCGAAATCAACTCATCTTTCCAGCGGCACACTTGGTTTGCCAAGTTGAGGCTTGGTTCAATCTTTCCCTCCCGAAGCAAGCATATGCATTGCATATCACATCTCGCATATCATGCCATGTTTTGCATCATGTTGCTTGCGCATTGCACCGTGGTTGATTGTTGTTTCCTTTTCTTGTGTTCTTGCTTTGGGTAGAGCCGGGAGTCGAGTACATGATTGAGGAACCCGTTGAGTACTCTTACGAGGATCAAGCTTTCGTCAACTCGAAGAACTTTGCAGGCAAGATGACCATACCCTCGAAATCACTTCTATCTTTGCTTGCTAGTTGCTCGCTCTATTGCTATGCCACGATACCTACCACTTGCTTTATCATGCCTCCCATATTGCCATGTCAAGCCTCTCACCCACCTTTTCCTAGCAAACCGTTGTTTGGCTATGTTACCGCTTTGCTCAGCCCCTCTTGTAGCATTGCTAGTTGCAGGTGAAGATGGAGTTTGTTCCTTGTTGGAACATGGTTATTGTTGGGATATCATTATTATATCTTGTTTACTTTAATGCACCTATATACTTGGTAAAGGATGGAAGCCTCGGCCTTATGCCTGGTGTTTTGTACCACTCTTGCCGCCCTAGTTTCCATCATACCAGTGTTATGTTCCTTGATTTTGTGTCCCTTACGCGGTTGGGTGTTATGGGAACCCCTTGACAGTTTGCTTTGAATAAAACTCCTCCAGCAAGGCCCAACCTTGGTTTTACATTTGTACTAACAACCTATCACGTTCCCTTGGGTTCTGCAGACTCAAGGGTCATCTTTATTTTAACGCCCCCCCTCGGGCCAGTGCTTCTCTAAGTGTTGGTCCAAACTAGAGTCCTTTGAAGCGCCACCTCGGGGAAACTTGAGGGCTGGTTTTAGTTGTACGGAGCGCTCATCCGGTGTTGCCCTGAGAACGAGATATGTGCAGCTCCTATCAGGATGTCGGCGCATCGGGTGGTCTTGATGGTCTTGTTTTACCATTGTCGAAATGTCTTGTAACTGGGATTCCGAGTCTGATCGGGTCTTCCTTGGAGAAGGAATATGTAACCGGGATTCCGAGTCTGACCGAAATGTCTTGTTTTACCTTTTCCTACCCTTAAGCTTAAATAGTCTTGATCGCGAGGGTG